GAGGGGGGGAGGGGGAGGGGGAGGGGGACGACACGCCCCCCTCACCACCACTCAGGGCCCTCACTGACGTGCAGGCCTATCTGCGGCTGCATCTCGACGCGTTCACGGCTTCCAACCGCTCACCGCCCTCACCCATTCCTGAGGGGGAAACCGCTGAACAACCGATGCAGACACAGATGCGGGCCAAGGGACGAGGCGCTGGGGGTGAGCTGTACACCTCTTCACGCGCCGAGACCGTCTACACCACACCGCGCAACGGCCCCATCGAGCCCAACAGCCCCCGGCAGCAGCAGCACCAGCAGCAGCAGCAGCAGCAGCCGACCAGGGCAAGAAGGAAGAGCCCATCGTTTGTGTCGCTGGAGGAGCAGGGCGAGCTGGAGCCGTCGGGTGAGCGCCGTTTGTGGGGCGCCGACCGGTCACCTGGCCCGTTGGTGGTGTCCATGGAGGCAGAGGAGGGCGACAAGGCCAACGGCGCCAAAGTCGTGTGGGAGGAGGAAGGTACGAGACCTACACACACACACACGTGGCATGGCGGAGGTCATTCTCATCTCTTGTCGCCTTCTCATGGCTGTCACACGTGTGTGTGTGCAGGTGGTCGTCGTGGGTTCGTGTCAGGCCGCGGAAGTGCCGTCTCCGCGCTGCAGATGCCGGGCCGCATGCCCCCTCCTACCATCTCGCAGCAGCCGACACCCGAAGGCCAGCCCCACTACGAGCGAGACCCTCAGCCGCCGCCCTATGTCCCCTTTCCAGCCACTGCACCATTCGGCCTGCAACCGGCGGCATCAGTGCAGACCTACCGCGCCCCCGGTGAGGGCCGGCAGGAGGCAGAGGTGGTCAATGGCGCGGCAGCGGCTGCGAAAGGCACCACGAGGCGCAAGAGGGACAAGGCCGCCAGGCAGGAGGGACAGACGCGGGCGGCAGCCGCGGCCAGACAGGAGGCCCAGAAGGCCCGCGTGGTGCGGAATAAGCTGCGTGAGGAGCTGGCGGCATGGGAGGCGGCGCAGGGGCGGGGCGGGGCGACTGACCAGCGGGTGGGTATGACGCACAACGCAGCCGAGCGAGCTAGAATTCTCTATGGTGTCCATCCATGTGACAGTCACACATGTGTGTGTTGTATGTGTGTGGTCTGTCAGCCCCCGCCACCATCTGCACCTCCACAGCCCCAGGCCGCACCACCACCACCACCACCAGCACCACAGCCACCCCTGTGTGCCCCACACCCGCCCGTGACACTGTACCAGCAGCTGCCATTCCCGCCGCCGCCGCCATACATAGCGTTCCCGCACATCATGCCAGCCCCCATCATGCCCGCACACATGATGCCACCCCACCACCAGCGGCAGCCGTGGGTGGCCCTGCCTAAACGAGAATCCGACGAATTCGCGAGGCAGGGGGGGTATGCGGGGTGGGTGGGGCGGCTCTTTTCCTGCTGCCGCCGTTGAGGGCGGCGGGGGAGGGTTCTTTTGGCCCGCCGACAGATGGCGGGCGGGAGGGGGGGGGGCCTCTGTGCACGTCTCTGTGCATATGGTTGGTTTTGTGTCCTGACTTAGTTGGACTAAGTGGGGTGGGAGGGGGGCGACCTGGAGGCGGTACCTGCTGCGGCTGCGGCTGCTGCAGCTGCAGCTGTGCCACTGGAGGAAACCAAGATCGAACGACCCGCCACAGAAGAAGCGCCTCAGGTAACACTACAACACCAACACACCAACAGACAAACAGACCACGTATGTACCATGCCATGTGTGTCTCCCATCTGGGGTCATTCTCTCACAGGAGGGTGCTGCGACCAAGGCCGAGGGGGTCAAGAATGCCACACACGAGGGGGAGGGTGGCGTGGAGTTGCCGACTGAGGAGCAGAGCGAGATGCAGGTGCATGGGGTCATCGAACAGGCCCTAGAGGAGCTGGTGGAGCCCACCAAACACGAGGAGGAGGCCGCCCGAGAGGCCGCCATAGCCAGGAAGGCTACCACTGCCACCGGCGGGCAGGGCGGCGCTAGGATGCGCGACAGGGCCGACGGCGACCGTCAGGCCGTCATGGTGGGTGTGCTGTAGACGGTCATGACCGTCGTCATCAAGGTGGCCGACACGATGCGCACAGAGGGGCCCAGCGGTGGTGGTCCCGGCCGCATGAGCAGCAGCGAGTTCCACACGACAGTGAACTTCGTCGCAGACCTGCTGGAGCGCTGCATGGGTGCGTGCGGCAGTCGTCCAATGCTGCACTCATGGTCCTCAAGGCCCTCATGACGACTCAGGAGGTCAAGGCCAACCAGCTGGAGCCTCTCTTCAACAGCGCTGTGATCAAGCATGCCCTCTACCGTCTCATCACCGAGTGCATCCGCAACTCACCGCCGTCCGACGAGAGTGAGGACGACCTCACGGCAGCATATGGCGGGGCCAGCCCCACCGACGACAGCATGAACACACAGCTCTTGATGTACTGCCTCCCCCCTCTCGTCACAAGAACTCCTCAAGATCCCCCCACCCCCCCCTACCCCAGCGGCGCCCGACAACACCGCCGGCACTTCTGGCGCCACACCCACACCACTCCCTGCGGCCCCGCAGGCCCCCGCTGCTGCAGCGGCAGCCATCCCGAGCCCGGCGGCTGATAGGCGCCTCGACGACGGCAGCTGCCGAACCAGACGGGTGTGAAGGGGGCCGGGAGGCTTCATGTGGCTCCGTATGGGGAGGAGCAGCCGGAACATGGGCGGCTGGTCTGACCTGCAGGTGGGATCTGATCCATATCACGCTGCAGATGAAACACATGAGTGGTTCATCTGCCTTCTGTCGTGTGTCAATGTGTTTGTGTCAGGTCGATAGTGGCCGTGTGTGGTACTCGATGAGGGTACCTGCTTCGTCGTGACCGTCCCCTTTCTCGAGAGTCATCGATCGTCAGCGGCACTTGTGCAGCAGCTGGTCGCCGAGACAGTAAGCAGGACAGCGTCATCCCTCTCGTCGCTGCATGTGGTGAGCGAACGAACCCGGGAGCGCGAGTGACCGCTGAGTTTCCTTTTCATTCGGTGCCTTCGTTCATTCCCTTCAGATGGGTCGACCATATCTGGAGGACCGCCTGATCCCTGCAGGAGGAGCATCAGCAGCTCCGCCCTCCCCCGCCCCTCCCAGGCCTCACTCGCAGCCTCTCTGCCAACCACGCCGACACACCAGCCACCCACAAGCACAGCCACGGGCTTCTCCACACCGGCATATTCCAGCTGCTGGGCCTCAAGCGCCTCAGTGGCGCCGGCGGCTCCTTCATGGCCATGGACACAGGCAGCAGCAGCGGCTGCTGGACGCAAAGCCACAACTCTCCCGAGCGGCGTTCGAGGGCCATGTCAGGGATGGCATTTCCGGCCAGCGCGGTGCCCCCTCTCTCTGCCCCCGCCCGCAGCGCCCCCACCACGCCGCTCTTCCCGATGCCATCGATGGTCGACTCGCCCGACGGGCAGAGCGACGAGAGTGGGACAGGCAGACGCCTGGAGGTGTGTCCCTGTCTGTTCCAAGCACGGCGACCAGCCTGCAGAGGGAGACAACAAGGGGGCCAAGGCCGTCACGCAGCTGTTTGCTTCATGTGCTCCATCGGCATCGACCACAGCTACTGCAGGGGCGGCGTCTCAGCCGACGAGTGGCGGTGATGCGAAGGACGCCCCTGCTGCCGCTGCAGGTCCGGCAGCCCCCGTGCAGCCCCGGCTGTCGTCCCCCAATTTGACTTCGACCTGGTGCACGATCTGGAGGACGGCGATCCGGACATACCATACTCACCAAATGGCTCAAGGTGACTGAAACAGAAGACACGACACACATGAAGACGACACACATGGTCCGGGAACGGTCGATGTAGGCACTCTCTCTCTCTGCCTCTGTGGTTCAGGCTTTGGAGGCCCGTGAGCTTCAAGTAGACAGACGATGTGGAGGAGAAGCTGATGCTGGTCAAGTGGCAGCGGGCTGTAACGTGTCGCGAGAGGTTCGGTTTCTCTCCAAGTCGCTGTTGAGGCTGCAGCGGCCCCACTGGCCCCTGCATATGTCGCCCTCCATGCCGTCCTTCCCGCCATCACTACTCGTGCGGAGCGCATCAGCGTCTGACGGCCATCGGAACGGATGCGGGATGGCCGGCGTGGCGTCGCCCTACACGAGCGACCAGCTGAGATACTTACGCGCGACATCAGCTCGGTGAGTGGCTGCACTGCACACGAGGGGAAATGGTGACTGTGATATGCACACTGGTTGTGTGGGTGATCTATGTGGCGTGCCTTTGCAGCGTCTCCGTGAGCGTGAGCACACGTGTGCTCAAGCGGCGAGAGGTCCCTGATGGCGTGGCAAGCAGCCTACGTGTAAGCCCAGAGGCGCATTCCGTTACGCACCTCAATCTCGAGACTGCCTTCCTGTCTGCCTGTCTGTCATGGGTTCGTGTCAGGCCACCGGAGTGCCGTCTCCGCGCTGCAGATGCCGGGCGGCATGCCCCCTCCCACCATCTCGCAGCAGCCGACACCCGAGGGCCAGCTCTACTACGAGCGAGACCCTCAGCCGCCGCCCCACTTCCCCTCCCCAGCCACTGCACCATTCGGCCTCCCACCGGCGGCATCAGTGCACACCTACGGCGGCCCTCTCTCTTGGCACCACCCCGCTCCCTGCCCAGTCAGTGGCCTGCCTGCCTGCCTAGTGGTGCCCGCGACATGAGCACACAAAGGGCCGGCTGTCAGGCGGCCTTTGTGTGTAATGCGGGCTGGTCCGGCTTCGGCCGGACAGCTCGTTTCATCAGCGGGGACCATGACGGCACGGGAGCGCAGCACCACAGGGCAGAGAGGGGTGCTTGAGTGGCTGGCTGGGCATGGTGGGATGGGCTGGATGGATGAATGGATGGGCAGGCAGGCAGGCAGCTGAGGAGGCCACCGCCTCAGCTGCCGTGCGCACCGTTTGTGTGGATTGGATTGATGGACTGAGTTGTGGATAGACAGGCGGGACGACTGCTGCATGTCATGTCGGTTGATACTTATGTGCGTGTGCCAAGTGTGTGTTAACAGACGAAAGTACATATATACACACATGGTCGGTCATCAGTCGATGGCCACACGTGGACGGACGGACGGGCGTATGCATATCGGTGCGTCCGTTCATTGATTGGTGCCTGCCGGTGTGTGGACATACGTACAGTACACTCCACACACCATTACATTACCACACACAGCCACATCTTTTTGCTTGTCCAGATTTACAAGACGGAGACGGGGGGCTGTGCCAGCCCCTTCCTGCGTGATGTGCCTTCGGTGCAGGCCTTCTGTTCTGCTCATTTCGAATGGCATTCGCCGCAGCCCTCTTCTCTTCAGAATCTCTCACTGACGCAGCCCGTGTTGGCTCGTTCGCCATGCCGCACAGCCAGGAAGGAGCTGAGCTGCCCACGTCGCCATCCGTGTGGCACCCCATCGACCTGCCGGCCCCATGCAGCTGCGCTCTCTCACGTCGTCGTCCACCGCACTCCCACGAGCGGCTCTCCCCCACTTCGTCTGACATATATATGTGTCGGGGAAGATATGTGTTGGGTTTTTGTATAGTAGGCCATTTTCCCATATGCATGTAAATTCCCTTCGGATCTGAGCGAAAGAGGGAAGTAGGAACGCGAAAGAGGAGGGAGGACCGTAGCACCATGGCTGAGGCCCAGGCAAGGACAGCACTCACACATGGGGAAAACTGCATCCCTCATCCGCCATCTCTCATGCGTTTGGAATTCTTTCCTGCAGCAGCCTCACCAGCAGCGCGGCCGAAATGCTTCGTGCAGTTCACTGTCCTCTGCCGCTCGACCCAGCCTGGCGAGCAGATGTACGCGGCGGGCTACGCGTTTGGCGGTTGCGAGAACCGAGATGCCTTCGTCAAACTGACGTGTAAGGACACGTGGCCGACGTGGCAGTCCGAGGAAATCGAGGTCGTACCACCGGCGAGCGGCCAGGTGGAGTACAAGTACGTGATCATGAACCCCAACGCCCAGCCCAAGTGGGAGGAGGCGTACGGCTCCTTCGGGCAGCATCGCACCGCGCGCGTCGAGGCGGGCCACCTCACCACCACATACGACCAGTGGAACGTCGTACAGGCGTGCAGCGCGCCCAAGTGCGTGCCCATGACTACCACAGACACGACCGACTCAGGTGAGCCGACCCAGAGAGAGAGAGAGAGGGAGGGAGGGAGGGGGGCGGAGGGAGGTGAAAACGCCCATGGATGTGCGTGTGTGTGTGTGTGTCGATGCATCCATCATGCAGTTGATGGCAAGAGGAAGGGCGGCGCCATAGACGCGGAGGGATCCGACAGCCGCGAGAGGGTGGGGAGGGTTGGGAGACCACCCTTGCACCGACCAACACAGCAAACCTGATCGTGTGTATGAGTGGGTGTCAGGCTCATACCGATGAAGTAGCGTTGGACCAGGCGGAGGAGACCGATAAGGGGGTGGCTGAGGTACGCCATGCCCGCCGCGTCGGTGTGTGTACGTATACGTGTATGTGTGTGAGTGTGGATTTGTGTGTGTGACGCCATGCAATTGTTCGAGGGAGGAGATTTCGACCATAGCGACGTGTTGGCGGGCGGAGGGGCTGCCGAGGAGGTATGGAGGGAGGGAGGGGTGGCACACGCGAACCAACGAATGCGCATCTGTGGCCATCTGTGTGTGTGGCTGGTACACAGGCGGCTGTTAGCGTTAGCGTTGGCGAGGTGTCTGCTGCCGCTGCCCAGGAGCAGCCGCAGGTGCAGGACCAGGTAACATGACACACTGACGGACCAATGCGCATTTCCGCCTGCATGTGTGTATTTGTCTGTCTGTGTGTGTGTGTGTGGCGTCCAGGGGGTCCAGGCTGGCGAGCATACCAATGTGTTGGCGGGCGGAGGGGCTGCCAAGGAGGAGCAAGAGGAGGAGCAAGAGGACGAGGAAGACGAAGACGAAGAGGAAGAGGAAGAGGTAGGGATGTAGGGAGGGAGGGGGGGTGGGGTGGGACACACGATCCAACGAATGCGCATCTGTGGCCATGTGTGCGTGTGTGTGTGTGTGTGTGCATCTGTGTGTGTGGCTGGTACACAGGCGGCTGTTCTTAGCGTTGGCGAGGGGTCTGGTGCCGCTGCCCAGGAGCAGCCGCAGGTGCAGGATAAGGTAACATGACACACACTGACGGACCAATGCGCATTTCCGTGTGCATGTGTGTATTTATCTGATGGGCGCCATTTCATCGTCTGTCTGTGTATATGTGTGTGTGTGGCCTGCATGGCGTCCAGGCTGGCGGCTTCCGGACGGGAGCGGTCAGACACACAGACACTCATTCACACACAGACAGACAGTCACTCCGTGCCGCAGCATCCATGTGTGCTGTTCGTGCGATGGATGGATTCCTTCAGATGGACGATCATGAGATTGTGGACCACTACAACAAGCGGACCAAGGCCGAGCAGCGCCTCTTCGACAGGGCGTTTGAGCTGATAGACCAGGGGCGAGCGGACGCCGCGCTGGACTTGTTCATACAGAAATGGAAACAAGCACCGGTGACTGACGGCACACACCGACCCAAACACGCCAACACAACCTGAATACACACGTGTCTGTGTGTGTGTCTGTGTGTGTGCAGGAGGAGCAGTCGTTAGAGGAACTCAGGGAGGACATATGGCCAAGCGAGGACGACGATGCCGAGCTGGTCGCCCACCACCAGCAGTGGCAGCAGAAGCCGGACAAGATAGGCAACGCCAACACGACCCTGAACGACTTCATCATCAGCCTCAAGAGAACCAACGTCAGGAAGCTCAAGAGACACATCGGCTACCGCTCAGACAAACCGTAGCGTGGGCAGCAGCACATACCGATATTGATCTCTCTCGACCTCTGGTGTGGGCGGTAGCATTGTGACAGACAGACAGATGGACGGGCGACTGACTGACTGACTGACGGGCGGGTGATTGACGGGCGTGTGTATACATACATACATTCCATGGATGGACGGATGGATGGACCCATGTGCCTGTGAATCATGGTGTGCCATCATGGCCGGCTGGGAGAATGAATTCAATGCCTCATTATATACTTAGTCGTGTGTGAGGGTCCGCATCGACACACCACAGCGCAGCGTACCACACCATTGTACCAAAAAGCAACCGACCAGGCGCCAGCACCCCACTCAGGCAGACAACACACACTTAGACACACACACACGCAGAGTCTCACGCTACCATGCCATTGCACTTATGTATATGTACACGACACACACACACACACACACAGAGAGAGAGGGAGGGAGGGAGGGAGGGGGAGGGAGGGAGAGAGAGACACCTACGCTACGGCGGCCCCAAGCAGCAGCAGCAGCAGCGTCAGCAGCCATCAAGACTGTCTGTCTGTCTGTCACCTCACCCATCCTCCCAAAGACGAACGACCGAACCGTCACGCCCAGCACAAATGACTACGTCCTACCGGTATTGCTGTACCTACCTTCACAGAGAGGGAGACATGTGTATGTGTGTCAAGTATGCATACGGATGTGTGGTATGTGTGGATGGACACACACACGGATGTCTGTGGTTAAATTGGCGTGTGCGTGCGTGGTCCAATTGGTGCCGTCTCTCTGCTTGCTCTCTGTCTGTCTGCGAGTCATTTCGGCAATCGTGCAGGCAGGCAGGCAGGCAGTGGAAAAAGATAGTCAATCCCTCTCAGAGATACGACAAACAAGTGGTGTGTATGTATGTATGCACGTATGTATGTGTACGTGTACGGATGGCTGGTGTACGTGTGATCGACCATGCATGTGTAATGGTGTAAAGTACATGGGACCGGTCAGCCCGCCAGCCTCAGGGCAACCAACAAACGTACATTGTGGAGGGCATCTGAACGTGTGTATACCATCGATCCATCCATGCATCCCATATGCACTCAGGTACCCAGTCAGTGGCGCCTGTGTACGCCCATGGCATGGCCAGCCAGTCGAGTCAGTCGGTGCGAAACACGTCATACAGATGCACACACGCAGGCATACACGTACCGTACTGAGATAGACATCAAAAAGTGCAAGTCCGCCAAGCTGAGGATTGAAAGCCTCATTGATTGCGGGATTGTCCGTGTGTCCAGCCATCCGTTGATCGGTCTATCTGACACTACCTGCCTACCACGAGACACACACGCACCCGATCCGCATGCACAGAGACGAAGCGACGTACAGCAAAAGCGAGGACCAGAAATCGTCGCCTCAGTGGGTGGGTAAGTGGCTCTGTGAACCATCGACACAATGAATGCACGAGCGGAAAGGGGTAGGTGAGGGCTGGCTGGCTATACACACATTGCACACACACACATCCACAGCAAGTGAAAGCGTCCAGTGAGAAATCCCCTTCCCCCTCCCCCCCTCTTGGCAAGAATCTAGATCAGCTTGTTTGTTGGATGGAACGACATGGCGCATGGTGGGTGGTGCGTGCATTCATGCATGACACGACACGACACGGCACGCCCGATGGGTGTGTGTTGTCTTCAGGGCACCACGTTGGGCGGCAGCTTCGGCGCCTCCGCAACGCCAGCCATCTCTGACGCAATCACACACGAGAGAGCGATGAACAATCAATCTGCGTGAGAGTGCCGAGTGTTCTTCTCGTCTCTGTGCCTACCTTTCTTGCAGTTCTGCCAGTCCAGTTCGGTGTTGACTCTCAGACACAGCCACGGGCGGCGACATGACAACTGACAGCACAAAAGGCACCGCACCAGCCAACATCCAGGACTATCCGTGGGTGCGTGTGGCTCACTCACTCCGCCCACCTTCTTGAGTGCACATGCGTTGGTGTAGACCTGCCCGTCGCTCCCGCACACGGGCTCATAAGTACGAGGGCAGGCCATATTCGCAACGTCCTTGCAGAACTCAGGGTCCTCACAGGGGCTCGTCGCTGACCCAACCACCGTTGACACAACACACAGGACAGACGGAACAATGCCCTCCCTTCAACTGTGCGTGTTTGCCGGTGGCTACGTACCGCCATCAGTGGTGGTCTGGAAGAGGCCTCCACCCTGAGCACGACGCGCTGGAGCCGCCCCGTCTGAATCAAACACACCAGCACACAAAGAACACATCGATGGATTTCCCAGTCTGTCGGTGTGGGTGTGTCATTGTGCGTCACCGTATCACCGTATGAGATGAGGTCGTCGTCGACGCTCTTGGGACCCTCATAAGGGCTGCTGGCGTGGGCCAACAGCAGACCAATCAGCAGGCAAATCAGAAGCAGCTTCATCTCGGCGATAAGGATGATCGGCAAATGGACGCGGCGTGTTCTGGTCGAACTGAGTGGTCCAGGGAGTCGTTTGCGTTGCTTCTTTTCACGCACAATCAAACGACACAGCAACAGGAGTCCCCCGCACGCTGAACACTTTTACTTTAGGGTGTGGCGTGTAACTAACATTTGCGCATCTTTGTGTGGCGTCAAAAAGGAAAAAGAGGGTTAAAGATTTCGTGAGCTGACCAATCTTTCCTTATTGCTGCGTCGCGTGCGTTCGTTGGTGAGAATGTCAGGCGTGACAGCAGAGCAGCTGATTGAGAACCTGCGGGTGGAGATAGAGGCGCACCGCACCAGCGAGGCGGCCAGCGCAGCCCAGGAGAACGGAAAACACGAGCCGAGACTCGTCGTCATCGGGGTACGCAAACGCCACACTCGATTGGGACGGCCACGCATGGCAGCACAGGGCGGGAGGGACGACACGGAGAGAGGAGATGCAGCCAGGTGTGTTGTGATCTCACTGTCCGCCTCTATCATGGTTTGTGTGCAGGTCGACAGCAGCGATTTCAGTCGCAAAGCTGGTGAGCGCAGGCACCGCATAAGGGACTTGAGTGGGTGACCACTCGCTGCTTGTCTGCTGTTGTGTTGTGCATCAGTCGAGTGGGCGGCCCAGAATGTTCTCAAGAAGGTATGTATCGACACACACATACACACGGACTGCACCCAGGCAGGCAGAGACATCGGTCTCGTTGTGCGCATGCGTTGGGTGTGCTTGGTCTGTTGCCAGGACGACTTGGTGGTGCTGATGACGATATGGGAGGAGTGCATGGAGTTCACAAGGGACGCTGGCTTCGAAATGGACACCTACGGTGCGATGGGCAACGAACGAACGAACGAACGAACGAAGGGGCAGACGCACTCATCCCGTCATTCACTTGTTGTGTTATGTGATGTTGTGTTGTCATCACTCAGGTTTGGTGATGATCCGTCGTGACGACATCAAGGAGCACAACGAGCAGGCGCTGCGTGACGGCCGGGAGCTGCTGGTCAAGACCTTCAAGAAGTACCTCAAGGAAAACACAGTCTTCCCGCTCCTCGTCAGCACCACATCGCCATCCAAGTCCGCCATCGGAGACCTCATGTGCCGGGTGGGTGCGTCAGGGGGTGGGTGGGCTGGCCAGTGGGGCGGGCAACACACACACACACGGTGGGTACACGTGTGTGTATGGTATTGCAGGCCTCGAGTGTGATCCATGCGGACTTCATAGTGGTGGGCTGCCGGGGCCTGGGCGCCTTCAAGAGGTTCTTCATGGGCAGCGTGTCCAAGTGAGCAACCATTGTCGCAGGCAGCAATAGAGACACGCAGAAGGGTCGGCATTGCATACCTCTGTCTGTCGTTTGTGTGTGGCTGTGCGTCTGTCAGGTACGTGTCGGAGCACGCCACCCAGCCCGTTGTGATTGTCAAGGACTGAGGGGGCGTGAAGGG